AACCTCCTAAGCTTACTTTTACCAGCTTAGGTTAAAACTTCCTCAAGGTACAAATTAATTTGATCCTTTGACCTTGGAATATCCACTGCCACCACCAAAGTCTAACTGGGTTTACTGGGAAACGTAGTTTGGACACGTCTTTCCCCCCAAAATCCTCCCAACCCTTGCACCCCACTTCCTGGGAAAGGTTTGGTAAAAATCCTCACCAATTTGCATAGGTGACCACAGACCCAAACCCTTGGATCTGAGAACAATGAAAAAGTATACAGTTTTCTTACAAGAAGACTTTTAATAGAAATAGGAGTAAATAGAAGTAAAGAAATCACCCCTGTAAAATCAGGATGGTAGATACCTTACAGGGTAATTAGATTCAAAACATAGAGAATCCCTCTAGGCAAAACCTTAAGTTACAAAAAAGACACACAGACAGAAATAGTCATTCTATTCAGCACAATTCTTTTCTCAGCCATTTAAAGAAATCATAATCTAACACATACCTAGCTAGATTACTTACTAAAAGTTCTAAGACTCCATTCCTGGTCTATCCCCGGCAAAAGCAGCATATAGACAGACCCACAGACCCTTTGTTTCTCTCCCTCCTCCCAGCTTTTGAAAGTATCTTGTCTCCTCATTGGTCATTTTGGTCAGGTGCCAGCGAGGTTACCTTTAGCTTCTTAACCTTTTACAGGTGAGAGGATTTTTCCTCTGGCCAGGAGGGATTTTAAAGGGGTTTACCCTTCCCTTTATATTTATGACAGCAAGCATGAGATATTTCAGACGAAGGCCTCATTTTTCCCCACCACCCTCTTCAATTCACAATGACACTCAGTTCTCAGAATTAACAGAATTCTAAAAGTCTGAATAAACAGAGGGGTAGATGCCAAGTTACTCTGTGCTGCAAATGAAGCAACAGCCATGGAGGAGAAGTCTCCTTTACATTGCATGGCATTTTTTGCTGATAATCCTCAGATTAAAGCCCTGTTTGACTCCACCACTATGTTTGTTCAGTGCTGCGTGGGAAGAGTTGCACCTAAGGAGCCATTTGCAGGGCACAGCGATCAATTTGATTGGTCCTATAAAACCAGCTGTACTGCATTTTGGTGAGCGCCATCTACTGGCAATTTGTCTATTAACTATATTTGCATATATACTAAATATATTTGCATATATACAGACATCTCTGTTTTACAGAGCAATCTGGTAACATGCTGCTTCTGTTTGGCTGCAGCCAATAGACTTCCTTCTTCCTCCTCCTTCAAAATTTCGATAACACTTACAATACCAAATCCCCCACTATTTGTAGATTGCCATGTTTCTACAGCTTTTTTTTTTTTGTATTATGGTAATACCTAAAGGGGCAAGCCAAGATCAGGACCCAGTTGTACTAGGCTGTCCAAAAACACAGTGAGACAGTGCCAAAGCCTGAACAGACAAGACAAACAAAGGACTGGAGGTGGGGAAAAAGATGTCCTGAGAGGCGAAGTGACTTGCTCAAGGTCTAATCCTGTCTCTTGCTTCCTCCCTCTCCTGAGTACCCTCTCCACTAGACCACTCTGCATTTTTGACACACGTCCCAGAAGATAACAATAATTCCCTTTACTCAGCTTCAAAATCTTGCATCCTTTAAACTGTGTTCCTCCGTGGCTAACCCAGCTCTGCCGTGTTAGGCTTCTAAGCTGCACTGAGCCACCCAACCTACCCTGACCCAAAGCCTCTCTCCAGTGCGGCTGCAAATAGGTTCAGATCATTAGATCCAGGTTACCAAACAGCCTCTTGGATCAGGGTTAATTAAATGAGTGTTGAAATCTAATTAAGGACTGGTCGGGGCGATAATTAGCAGGAAATGTATGCATTAAAATATTCATTTGTCGATGAGCTGCAATTAAGAATGTGATTTGGGGAAGGATCAATAGCTATATCATGTGATTAAGAAAAAATGAGAAGTTGCCCAGCCTTGAGCAGAAACCCTGGTGAATGTGGATTTTATTCTGCTTCGCTCTCTTAATAACTCCTGGATCCCACTGTACAGCCTTGAATAGGGCATTCATCTCTCCCTCCCTTTGTTTTGCTAAGTCATTTGTTTCACTTCTTTTGTTCTTCACCACATTGTTCAGGCAGGTTATAGATGTATTAGCAAGAGGGAAAGAGTGGGAGAGTGACAGGTCAAAAAGAAAGGTTCCTCACCAACGAAAATCTCTTCCAGTGCTGCTAATCCAGGGGAACATCACTCATTGTGTGGCCTCAGACTGTTTCTTTATCAAGTTAATTCCTCGGCTTTTTATTCCTTACGAGGATCTGCAGCAGGTGCTGCATATGCATGTGCTGGGGCTCCTGCAGACGTATCTATTATTATTATTATTTATTAATTTGTATTATCGTCGTGCCTAGGAGTCAGAGACCGGGACCCTGCTGTGCTAGGCATTGTATGTGCATTAAAGTATTTTATTAAGATATTCCTAACGAGCAGCAAAGCAGCTCTGCCTTCAGTGAAATGGATATTATTCCCCAGTTTGGGGGGCCAGCAATTATACTCCCCCCGTCTCCATAACGGTGCACCTGTACTGGAACAATTAGTGCCCGTGTTGCAGCAACAGCCAGCAACAACGCCACTGTTCTGGTGCTAAACTGGGGCCACAGCATTGCTCCCACTACAGCTGTTCAGAAATTTTTCCGGTGGAATGGTTTTCTGTAGCGGAAGACTGATTTGGCGAAACCGACCTTTCCATGGGAATGGGTCCATTTAGATGGAAACCGCGCATGTTGCCCATGGAGACCTGCCTGGTTTCCTAACAGGTCCTCTGCCTTCCCAGGCTCCCAGGATGACTGCATCAGCTGGGCTCTCCAAACAGCAGGCTGTACGGGCTGCCAAACTTCCCAACTGCCAAACTTCCCAGCTACCTAGGCTGCCTGACTCCCTGGAAAAATTCTGCTTTGGTTCTCCCAGAACTAGATTTTCTTTTATTGTTCTCTCCCACAAAACATCCCAAGCCAGGATTAATATTTTTTCAAAAATTCAAAATTTTCCATGGGAGGGAAATGGGACCTGCCATCCAAGTCTAGCTGCCAGTGCTGAGTTCTAGTGTAGACAGGGGCCCAAGCAGGTTGGCATTGCTGCTAGCTTGGGTGTAGCTGCAGATTGCTGGCTGTGGCTGGATTAATAGTACTAAAGCTCAAGTGTCAAGGCCAATTAAAGCCAAGTTCTTGTCCCACTGAGCCTAAGACACAAGAGTGAGTGAGAGGTAGAACAGGTTTCAGAGTAACAGCCGTGTTAGTCTGTATTCGCAAAAAGAAAAGGAGGACTTGTGGCACCTTAGAGACTAACCAATTTATTTGAGCAGAAGCTTTCGTGAGCTACAGCTCACTTCATCGGATGCATACCGTGGAAACTGCAGCAGACTTTATATACACACAGAGAATATGAAACAATACCTCCTCCCACCCCACTGTCCTGCTGGTAATAGCTTATCTAAAGTGATCATCAAGTTGGGCCATTTCCAGCACAAATCCAGGTTTTCTCACCCTCCACCCCCCCACACAAATTCACTCTCCTGCTGGTGATAGCCCATCCAAAGTGACAACCCATTTCACAGCTGATTGCTTCCTACCAGTCACCTGCTAGGGTGATCTGGGTTTCCTTGTTTGGATAGAAGATCAAGGCCTTAGGAGTGAGAAGAAAACATGGTTCCATCAAGGGAACAAATGGAAGAAAGTCTAGCTGCATGATTAGTTTGAGTTTGCATGTGTTAAAAAGGCATATTAATTACCAGCTGTAGTTATGACTCATATATTACATGTGTTTACCAGAAAATCCCATATGTTAACCGCACTGTCGTTCTGTTTCAATGCGTATGAAAAATATCAGTGTGCCTTCCATGTACTCTCTCCTAAGTGGGAAATAAGCCCAACCGTGTGAGATTTTCCAAAGTGCTCAGAGCTGGCTTATCTCTGTTCCTACTGAAATCTTTAGTAAAACTTCCACTAGTGTCAGCAGGAGCAGAAAGAGAGAGCAACTCTGAGTGTTTTGGAAAATCCCTACCCAACAACGATCAAGTCAGTGTCTCTTGAATTTGAACCCAAGCGGGTTCAAAGTTTGGCACAAAGAGTTTGCCCATCCCTAATTATTGCATTTCCACTGTCATTACAGCATGCCGTCTGTGCCAGCTTGCACAAAAGGGTTTTCACCTTGTTTTCCTTGCTGAGAAATTCCATTGCTCCAAATGAGTAGAGCTTTCCTAACTGCAGCTAACAAACTCTGCATTCATCTTCCCATGACCTCTACTGAGGTCACCTCTCAACTTTCTGCAGTTCTCGAGGTAGAGGAGGAAACTCTGATCCACTTATCACCACTTTCCCTTCCCTGACTTGACTGCGTCTCACGGAGATGCTGCAGGATGCTTAAACGTCTGCAGACTGTGAGGTGCTAAGTTCTGGAATCAAAGCTGACCCTTGTGTTCTCACCAGACACAAGCGTAAAAATAGTGAGTGCCAAGCAATTGCGGGAGGCAGGGGTCCCACAGGCAGGATCTGGCAGGGATAGAACTAACCCATTGCACTGTCCAAAAAATAAATCAGGCCAAATGTACTGCAGAAGTTACTAGCTTGCAGCGCAGTGGCACCAACTCTCAGTGTAAATCCCTAATAGACCAGCAGCTTCACTAGGTGGAAAAGAACAAGGCCCACCTCTTTGCAGGGGGAATTTAAACCAAAGCAAAGAAAGGAGGAGCTCAGAGAAGAATGAGAGTTGGCCAGATGGCCCACTCACCCCACCCTCGTGGTACAGATTCCTTTTCCTCTTTGCTGCTGCTCTCTCCAGCCTGCCACAGGCTGAGATCAGCGTGGAACTTAAAGATCACGGGAGGATGCCCAGGGTTGTCTTCAAAGCCCACTGGAGCCGAATCTCAGCCAGTCTCTGTTACATGTGCAAATGCAGATTGCTCCCAGTAGGCACTAATGGGAAAATACCCCTGTTGTGTTCTCTCTTTCTGTTTTCCTACCTCCAGGGGGCCTCCTCGAGCCTGGTGGTGAAGTTTGCAGACACGGACAAGGAGCGTACAATGAGGCGCATGCAGCAAATGGCAGGACAGATGGGCATGTTCAACCCCATGGCGATCCAGTTTGGAGCGTACGGTGCCTACGCACAGGCAGTAAGTATAGCTACTGTTCTCTACACGTGAAGGAGAATTGCGTTGCCAGACACCATACAGACAATGGCACAGCACACAGAGACACCCTACAGGAGGAAAGAGTGAGGAAAGGAAAGAAAGACTGTGTGATTCCTTCATTAAACTGGCTCTGCAGAGATAGGTCAGAGACAAGTCTGAGCCACGAAGCCACTCAGCTTGCTGTAGGCTGGGATATTTCCCAGACAGTGCAGAAGGCAAAACGGCTGCTTCCAGTTATGACCAGTTGGTCCAATCCATAACCACCAAAGCCAGACACCACGAAGCGTCAAGGATTTGGATAAAATGGGACCCGAATCCAATTCCACCCCAGTTTTTAGTGTTGTGTCACCAACATCCAACCCCAGATCGGTTTCAGGAAATGGAAACCATCCCGGGTTTAACCCTCTGGCCTTCCCAGGCTATAACCCCTAAGCTGCATCGGATTGGCCGGTGAGATAGCTCTCAACTGTATTCAGCCAGGCCCATATTTTCGACAGTGTCTTCTAATTATTTTGTGAACCCCCATATTCAGGCAGTCAAAATCAGTGGTCAGTGTAGAAAATGGCCGCCTTAGTCTTTGCATCTTCAGGGTCGTCAAAAGATGCCAGGTAACACGCACACGCGCACACTCATACATGGTCCCTGCCCCAAAGAGCTTAAATCTGGGTCAGACAGAGGCAAAACAGTTGAGACACATTTACACAGGAACACAGGAGCTGCCCTGCTGATTTGGACTCATGGTCCATCTAGTCCAGTATCGCATTGTTGAGAGTGGCTGTTACCAGATGCTTCAGAGGAAGGTGTAAGAACCCTGCTGTAGGCAGATGTAAAAGTGATTCTGGGTGCCTCAGCATTGGGTGAACTCAGGAGCGACATGCAGACATAACAGCACAGATCCCACTAGCCACATAGCTAGCCCTCCGTGCCATTGCATGTGAGCACCTCACAGTCTTTAATGGCTTTGATCCTTATATTCTGTGAGGTAGGGTGAGGCTACTCTTTCCATTTTCTAAACGGGAACTTGAGGCAAACAGAGATCAGGGACTTGCCCAAGGTTATATCCGGAGGCTGTTGCTGAGTCACCAGTTGAAAGCAGGTGTATTTGAATATTACCCTAGTACCCCATTCACTAGACCATGCTTTCTACCCTACCAGCTTTCTCTAGTATGTTGGCACTCAGCTAGAGTACCCTCTGTCCCCTGTCTTGACTCCCCATCTTCCCTCTTTTTCGATGAAGGCCTAAGAAGCTTCCATCCTCTCCTAAGTGTTTTCAGCATAACTGAAGGAAGTATGGGCTGGATGAATGCACTATAAGGTGGGTAGAAAGTTGGCTAGATTGTCGGGCTCAACGGGTAGTGATCAATGGCTCCATGTCTAGTTGGCAGCCGGTGTCAAGTGGAGTGCCCCAGGGGTCGGTCCTGGGGCCGGTTTTGTTCAATATCTTCATAAATGATCTGGAGGATGGTGTGGATTGCACTCTCAGCAAATTTGCGGATGATACTAAACTGGGAGGAGTGGTAGATACGCTGGAGGGCAGGGATAGGATACAGAGGGACCTAGACAAATTGGAGGATTGGGCCAAAAGAAATCTGATGAGGTTCAATAAGGATAAGTGCAGGGTCCTGCACTTAGGATGGAAGAACCCAATGCACAGCTACAGACTAGGGACCGGATGGCTAGGCAGCAGTTCTGCAGAAAAGGACCTAGGGGTTACAGTGGACGAGAAGCTGGATATGAGCCAGCAGTGTGCCCTTGTTGCCAAGAAGGCCAATGGCATTTTGGGATGTATAAGTAGGGGCATAGCGAGCAGATCGAGGGACGTGATCATCCCCCTCTATTCGACATTGGTGAGGCCTCATCTGGAGTACTGTGTCCAGTTTTGGGCCCCACACTACAAGAAGGATGTGGATAAATTGGAGAGAGTCCAGCGAAGGGCAACAAAAATGATTAGGGGTCTGGAACACATGACTTATGAGGAGAGGCTGAGGGAACTGGGACTGTTTAGTCTGCAGAAGAGAAGAATGAGGGGGGATTTGATAGCTGCTTTCAACTACCTGAGAGGTGGTTCCAGAGAGGATGGTTCTAGACTATTCTCAGTGGTGGAAGAGGACAGGACAAGGAGTAATGGTCTCAAGTTGCAGTGGGGGAGGTTTAGGTTGGATATTAGGAAAAACTTTTTCACTAGGAGGGTGGTGAAACACTGGAATGCGTTGCCTAGGGAGGTGGTGGAATCTCCTTCCTTAGAAGTTTTTAAGGTCAGGCTTGACAAAGCCCTGGCTGGGATGATTTAATTGGGGATGGGTCCTGCTTTTGAGCAGGGGGTTGGACTAGATGACCTCCTGAGGTCCCTTCCAACCCTGATATTCTATGATTCTATGAATGCCCTGGAGAATCCTGCATGCCCCGATCTATCTCAAATCGCCCGCTCCTTTGGGGAACTCCCTCCCCTTTCTTGAGTTGCTCTCTCCCCAGCATGTGTGGAGCTATTGAGTTTGTGAGGACACTTCCTATCATGTACTTCTGTACCAGATATGGACTGGCTACAGAGCTCACTTATACGCACTAGGATCATCATAAGATCCTTTAATGCTCTTCCTGGTATGGCTAAGGTTAGCCTTTTAAATAAAGTATTTTACACAGTGCCATCTTGTGGCAGAACAGTATACTACAGTTTAGCATTCCATCACATCTCCCCCTTTTACGTTCTACTTTCCTGCCATTTACAATATTTATATGATCATGCTATCACTGAGGTTCAGTATGTATCAATCTATTAAGTGTCTCTGAATCATACTGTTTTTCTAATTACACGTCCCAAACACATTAACAACTTGGTCATCTGGCTGTCCATTAGTTGCAACGACTGGGTGTAGTCCGTTTGGAATCCTTGAGTCGTCTTCTTGGTCTCCATCTGACATCTGTAGAGTTTGCTCTGTTGATCCTTCTTTCTGATTCTGTTGAATTCTCCACTGTTGGTCTCAGTCACATCTGACCTGGGTGCTGAATTCCTTTTCTTTATGACAGCTGGAGTTGTCCATCCTTTTCCTCCATCCATTTTGACGTACGCAGTCACCAGATTTTAGACCCAACAGTTCTCTGAGTGACATCTGTTGTAAAAGTGTTCAAAAGCTCTTTTAGTCTTTTTATTTGATTTGGCTGCGTTCTGAATGTCTGGCCACTTTGGAGATAGATTCTTTTCCAAAGTTGCAATAGTTGTCTTCCCTTCAAGAATTGTTTAGAACTACATTCATTAGCTTGTATTGGTGCTGATCTGTAATTGAGAAGAGTGAAGAATGGATCTTCCTGCTGTAGGATTTTCTTGGCTGTCTGTACAGCTCTTTCAGCCTCTTCATTCACATGTGTGTAATGTGGGCTGCTAGGAATATGATCAAAATAATATCTCATTCAGAATGACTTAAATTCTGCTGCAGTAAATTGTGGTCTGTTGTCTGTCACTACTTGGACTGAAATATTGAAATAAGCAAAAGTGAACTTCAGTTTCTCGATTAGAATCATAGAATCATAGAATATCAGGGTTGGAAGGGACCTCAGGAGGTCATCTAGTCCAACCCCCTGCTCAAAGCAGGACCAATCCTCAACTAAATCATTCCAGCCAGGGCTTTGTCAAGCCTGACCTTAAAAACACACTTCAACACGTTATGTCTTCCAAGTGCATTATTTCTATATACCTGGAAAAACAGTCCATTGTGACTAGGTAATGATGTCCTCTGAATTTGCATAAAACTCCAACTTGTCTCTTCCAAGGCCTGTCTGGTAGAGGTGTTGTTATTAAAGTTACTTTGTGTTGTGTTGATCTGTTAATTCTGCAACATTCATATGCAGATATTTACTCTTTATGTCCTGGCTGATGCCCGACCACCGCACTGACTGGTTGGTCCATTCACAGCATTTAGTTAAGCCCTTGATGTCTTTCATGGAAGAGATTTAGGATTTCTCCTCTGGTTTCATTTGGAATTATGATGCAGTTGCCTTTAATCATGAGTCCATCTGAACTGCGTAATTTTCCATGCACCACAAAATAGTGTCTTGTCACTTCCTTAGGGTCTGTTAGATACTTGGGCCAGCCACCGCTAGTATAACTTAGAAATTCCTGAAGTTGTATGTCTGTTGAGGTTGCTTTTTGTAGCTGGTGTAGTCTCTGTTTTGACATTGGGCTGCATGTCTCCACAGCATCCCCATGTGCCTTTATGTCGACTTCGAGCTCCCAGGTAATTGAGTGCGATGTTGGGCTCTCTGACACGGTGCCCGCTACTACTACCTTTTCCCCTGGAACATGTTTAGTAACTGGGTTAGTCACATTAACCGCAACAATAGATGTTGGCATCTCAGCATTCCTCGATCCAGGTCTTTTCCGTTGATGAGGGTTATAAGCCGTTTATGGTCTATTACCAGTGAAAATGAATCCAGTCCACCCAGACACCGGTAAAAGTTCTCACCTTCCCATACACTTGCCAAGCACTCCTTTTCACTGTGTCCATGTCATTTTTCTGCTTCAGTGAGTATACAAGAGCAAAATGCAACTGGCTTCCACTCGGAGCCATGTTGTAGCAACAATCCATCACCAGGCCATAGCTGCTTGCTCCACGCTGACCATGGTAGGTTTGTTCACATCATAGTATTTCAGAACTGGAGCTGTTGAGGTCATTTCCTTTACCTTTCTGAAGGCAATGTCTTGATTTGGCCTCCATAGCCAAGATGTTTTGGACATTAACAGTTCATTCAGTGGTTTTGTCACTGTGGAAAGGTCTCGTAGGTATTGACCAAGATAATTTTTCCTTCCCCAGGATACATCTCTGTTCTTGTGCATTAGTTGGTACATTCAATTCTCAAATTGCTTGAACTTTCTCAGGGCTAGGACTGATTCCATCTTTGTTTATTGTCTCTCCCCAAAAAATCAATTTGGGGTAGATGGAAAACGCTTTTTTCCTTGTGTCGCTTCAATCCAGAATGACTGATTAGGG